CCACACTGGCTCTCTGTTATCCTGATACTATATTTTACCTTTTCTGTATTGTCAGTATCAGCCCAAGCCAAGATATTTACAGCCTGGTAAAGAGCAGCAAATGAAAGTCCTCAAACGTCAGGGAGCATAATACCCAAAGATAACCAATTTTCTTTTCAGAACATGAGGCCAAAAGAATCCCACAAGCCCCTCTCCCTGTCCCATACAGTGTGGGGAAATATAGCAATAAGAAATTAAACAACTTATAATTTCTACATTTTTATGACACTCAAAATCTGCTGTCTGAGGTAGCCACTTCTTTCTGTCTGATGGTACTTCTGGACAATCTCTGTGGTCTGTAGTAGCAAACCATTTAAGTAGCCAATCCTACCACAAAATGCAAGTGGGAGGAGTGAATAAGGAAAATATAAGTCCTATATTTCCATTTGAGATATAAGCAGCAACATTAACTTCTGAGTTGAATTTTGCAGTGAATAAAGTTTCTAGGTGGAATAAAGGATAGGTCGCCTGAGCCAGCATGGCATAGTGGTTTGAGTCTGGGACTATGGCTCTGGAGACCAGGGTTCGATTCCCAGCTTGGCCATGAAACCCCCTGGGTGACCTTGGGCAAGTCACATTCTCTCAGCCTCAGAAGAAGACAAAAGGCAAACCCCTCCGAACAAATCTTGCCAAGAAAACCCCATAATAGGGTTGCCATAAATTGGAAATGACTTGAAGGCACACAAGAACAACAAACTCCTGTACCTTTAATGGTTGTATAGAACAGGGAATTTCAGCAGATGTTGCCCCTTGAAAAGCAACAGCTGCTGAATGTTTCTCTTTTACACAAGGTGGATGAGTCCTGTCCCTTATTTCACCTGGTAGCCCTAGCAATGAATCTAGGAATCTTAGAAATTAGTTTTTAGATGTATTTCACCTGTCTGCTTGCACCACTATAATAATAAATAACAATTAGAATTTATGCTTTGTACATTTGTCAACTGTTCAAAGCACTTGTACAGTATTGAATGACTTTGGTCCTATAAAGAAAACAAATGCTGTTATGCCCACATTACATATAAGAAAAGTGTTGAGGCTTTCCTATAGCTATCCATTCCTTTAATGCCTGGATTAAGATTTGAATCAGAAGCTTCCAGCTCAGATTCTTCACCATTAAACTACACTTGTTCCTCTTTGCAGTAAATTAAAAGAGCAAATTACATTATTTTCCATCCAGTGAAAATATGGGTGATTCCCCCCCCTTCCTTCTGTGAACATTAGTTGTTCTGTCATTAAACTTATTTTTTATCTTAGGGCTTCTTTTACACCACATCTTAATGTCGTATCAGGAGGACTGTGATGCAGCACTTTTCTTTTTATGGTACTTCTATTTCTTGCCATCAGGCACCCACAATAAATCTAACCTTAGCAAGCTTGCATGACATAGTGGCTGAATTGGAGCTGTGAACCAGAAAGCCCCCATTTCATGGATTGCCCTCGCTATGAACTCATAGGATGGCTTTAGGTAAGCCACTCAAGTCCTGGGGTAAAAGGCAATTGCTTGTCCTAACTAGAACAGACCAATTATTCAGTCAACATTTATGTAAGCCCCATCGATTCAACAAATCTATTCTCACTGGCACTTGCAATTTAATTTAGGGCATTTGCAGACTGCCAGAAATAGTGCAAATTGAGTCCACTTTAAGGGTTAGGGTTAGGGAATCATGGGAACTGTATTTTATTGTGGCACCAGAACTCTCTGACAGAGAAGGCTCAATGTCTCGGGGGGGGGGGGGGGGGACAATTCCCATGATTCCCTAGCATTAACCCTAACCCTTAAAGTGGACTCAATTTGCACTATTTCTGGCAGTCTGCAAAAGCCCTTAGTCTCCAGCCTCATAGCTGTAATGTAACCTAAATCCAATTATGAGTTCCACCAAAAGCAGTGCTGCTGAATCAATGGAACCTACGTTGATGAGTTACCAAGTTCTCATTCATGAAATGGGTCTATCTTTGGAGCTTATTGCACTGCTAAATAAACCTACTTACCTCTCCCAACTTCAATCTTTATTTGGGTGGCATCCGGATACTATCACAGGGATTTTGTCACCAAATTCACTATCTGCATCTAGCCCGGGTCCCAAGGGCACTCTGGCGGCCGTTTCCTTAAGTCAGAAAATCCCGGTTTCAAAAAGAGGTGTGCTGAGCACCCCTGGGACCTGGGCTCGACCTGGGCTGGACACAGGCGGCGGATTCAACTAAACAACAATTATAGTGGTGCAATAAGCTTCCTAGTGTGGAACTAGAATGGGCAATGTTCTGGAGCATGTGGTTGTCTCCATGTTCTGGTGGTTTGTTGATGAATGATCTACATCCATTTTGATCTGGCTTCAGCCTGACTATGGGATAGAGACAACCTTGGCTGCCTTGGTGGATGATCTATGCCAGGAATTGGACAGGGAGAGTTGTCCTTGTTGGTTCTGCTAGACTTCTCGGGGACCTGATAGAGGCATCTATGGCTTGGGTTCAGCCTATCTCGAAGACCATATCTCCCTATAAAAGCCTGCCCAAGTTTTAAGATACATGCAGGAGGGCTTTCTTTTGGTCACAACACTTTTGTAGGCACTTTTATTGAGGACATGGGAGAGGGCCTTCTTGGTGGCTGCTCCCAAGCTATGCAAGTCTCTTCCCTGTCGTCTTTCCTCTCGCCTTTAGCTTGTTGCAGCACACAAAGTTTTTAATGAGAAGTGTTGTGTGTGTGTCTTATTATGTTTTCAGTGTATTTCTTAAATGGATATAAACTGTGTTTTTAAACTGAACTGTTGTTTTATTGTATACTAATATTGGGCCTTTGCAGACTGCTAGAAATAGTGCAAATTGAGTCCACTTTAAGGGTTAGGGTTAGGGAATCATGGGAACTGTATTTTATTGTGGCACCAGAGCTCTCTCAATGTCTCAGAAAAAGAAACAATTCCCATGATTCCCTAGCACTAACCCTAACCCTAAAAGTGGACTCAATTTGCACTATTTCTGGCAGTCTGCAAAGGCCCCTTGTTTTAGTAAATGGAACTGTTGTTTAATTGTATACTAAATCTTGTATACTAATAGTGTTTTAGCTTTACATTGTTTCAACTTCTTGTGAGCCTCCTTGAATACTGTGCTGGGAGAAAGGTGGGATAGAAACTAACTCAATACAAATTTGACTTGGGCTAGGGGTGGGAATCACACGACTGGACTCTGGATATTGTTGAAATCCAACTCCATATCATGGGTAGGACTACTGGGAATTGCAGTCCAACAACACCTAGAGGTCCACATGAACCTCACCCCTGCTTTAGGGCAATGATATCAACAGAATGATTCTGAAGCACGCTAGGTGCTTGCCTTTGCAAGATTACGTCCTGACTTCTCTGATCACATTCTCATGCTGCCTCGATTAAACAAAAAGCAAAATAACTTCCATTTCAAGTTGTATGTGTATATGACTCTTCTTTCAAAGCATTCTCGTCTTTTCTACAGTTTCCTCTAGATGCTGTTCTATTTCTCTTACAATAGCCTCCTGTCCATCTCGTTCAGGAGGAAATTTTAGTACCTTTCCTGTTGTCTTTTCAGTGTGCCAAGTGAAGGCTTTTTTAAAAATAAAAATAAAAATGATGCAGTCTTTTTATAGAATCATAGAGTTGGAAGAGACCACAAGGGCCATCCAGTCCAACCCCCTGCCATGCAGGAACTCCCAATTAAAGCATCCCCAACAGATGGCCATCCAGCCTCTGTTTTAAGACCTCCAAGGAAGGAGACTCCACTACTCTCCGAGGGAGTGTGTTCCACTTTCGAAGAGCTCTCACTCTCAAAAAGTGCCTCCTAATGTTTAGGTGAAATCTCTTTTCCTGGAGCTTGCATCCATTGTTCTGGGTCCTACAAGGGTAGGCATCCTTTCCCCTTTAAGGGCCAAGGGACTTCAGCTCCCAGAATCCCAGGAGCTATTGGCCAACATGGGACTATTGGCCAACATGGCTGAGGCTTCTGGGAGCTGAAGTCCCTCGGCCCTTAAAGGGGAAAGGTTGCCTACCCTGAGCAACAGAAAACAAGCTTACTCCATCCTCAATGTGACATCCCTTCAAATACTTAAAACAGGGCTATCATCATATCACCTTTTAACCATCTCTTCTCCAGGCTAAACATACCTAGCTCCCTAAGTCTCTCCTCATAGGTCATGGTTTCCAGACCCTTCACCATTTTGGTTGCCCTTCTTTGGACACTCTCCAGCTTAGGGTTACACATTTTTATAGAGATTATTTTAAGGTTAAGCCACCTTGGATCCCAATTTGGGAGAACAGTGGGACATAAGTGCAATAAATAAATAATGATAAATGAGTTATAATGATAAATAAATCCAGAATATACAAGACCTAAGCAGAGTAATGGAGGATAGGGCAGCTTGGAGATGTCTCATCCACAGGGTTGCCATGAGTCGGAGCCAACTCAAATGCAGTTAACTACACAGTTTTCCCCTTATGCTCTGCACTGTGTTGTTATTGTTGTTAATAACAGTAATTCTGTTTCATGTACTCTTTTTTCTTAAAATAACAAACATGCACAGACTCAGAATCACAGAGCTGGAAGGAACCCCAAACACTGTCTAATCCAGCCTCCAGCCATACAGGGATATACAGCATCTTACACTTTAACATTTACAGAGTTAAAAATAGCACCCACCACCTTTCAGTGAGCATAAATTGAAGGGATAATTAACTGAAATTGGGCTGATAATTAAAAGGCAACCAGTTGCATCCTATCAGATGACCTGGGAGTTGAGAAATGCCATTACTCTGATTCAGAAAAGATGAAGAGGGTTTGAGCATCTCCTCCACCTGAGTGAATTTCACAAGAGAAGAGAGAACAACTGACAAGATATTCTGCTTTGTTACTATTTTCCAAGCCCCTCTTGGAGAAGTTACTTAAAAGAAGGTTCTGTTGTTTTATACAGTTCTAATATTGGCATTTTGTCATAGCGTCCATGACAGCCAGTAGGGTGTATTGGTTTGAGTAGGACTCAGAAAGATGAAGATTCAAATCCCTATTCAGTCACATGAACCCATTAAGGCCCCAAACACACTACAGAAATAATCCAGTTTGAGACTGCTTTAACTGCCCTGATTCAATGCTATGGAATCCTGGGAACTGTAGTTTTGTGAGACATTTAGCCTTCTCTATCAATGAGCTTTGGTGCCACAATAAACAACAGTTCCCAGGATTCCTTAGTACTGAGCCAGGGCAGTTAAAGCGGTCTCAAACTGGATTACTTCTGCAGTGTGTTTTGGTCCTAAGTGACCTTGGGCAAACCACACTCTCTCAGCCTTAGAGAAAGGCAATTGCAAACTTCCTCTGAATAGATCTTGCCAATAAAACCCTAGAATTGAGTTACCATAAGTCACAGTCAATTTGAAGGCACACAACAATAATACCACATCTTATTCAAAACTCTCCCTGGGAATGCTAATTAACACTTGAGGAATAGAGACATAGGCTGCATCCACACTGAGGAAATAATCCAGTTTGACACGCTTTCACTGCCATGGCTTTATGGTATGGAATTCTAGGAT